GCGGGGCGAAGGTTATTACTGGCCAGGCTGCTCGTTGGAGGTACAATGGGTGAGCCTCCGAGTGACTCACAAACCAAGTGGATGGTTAAGCAAATATTTTGCTGGACAATCCATCCTGACTGACAGCCTTCCCCACCCCAATGTATCATTGATAAACGATGACTTTCTGCTCTTTCAGTTTTATTCGTGTGCATTGGGGTAGTTTTCTTCAGAAATGGATTGAGCACTTCTGGGATTTTTCATCCATTTTTAAACAAACACGTATATCTATGTTTATTTAATTGCATATTTAGCTCAATGAGGACGAAATCGTCAATCTAGTTGAGATTTTCGTAAAGAGTTGAAAAAATACCGTCGCGTCCAACTCCCTGCTAGTGAACTTGCCTGCTTCATTTCATCGCATTTTTTTTCTAAACCTGCCACGCAATCGCTGCATTACTCGATGGGACGCACTTATTATCGCCCTCAAATACTGAAAAGACGAGTCGGCGATCTATTATGCTAAATTGTTAATCGTCGTAATGTTTTTTCCCTTTTCAGCTTCTGGCAATCCTCCTAGCGAAGGCACTCTACACTCAAATTGGCGACCAATTGCGTCTGCTTCAACATGAAGGCCTCATGCGTTAGCCCTCCTCCAGCTGTGGTGCTATCCTATTTCACCTTTCTCCTCCTCACTCCTTTGTCCTATGCTTGTCTGTGTATATTTCAATACAGGGAATTGCTTTACTGATTCAACTGGCAAATGCTCGTGTTTTTGCTCGTTTTCTCCCCTTGCACACCTGCACGCACAGTGGAATTGCTGGCTTGAAGGGCTCCTCACTTAGCACTCTCATTGTGGTTCTCCTCTCCCTCTCTCCTAGTCCGCATCTTTCCTTTCCGTGTTTGAAACCACCTCTAGTCGGGCGTTTTCTGCTCGATGTCTTTTTTTGTGCAGGTAGATGGTTTTTTTCATTTAGTGAACTATTTAAAAGGTAGGAAAGGATTATCGCTCCCATTTTCAACCTCTAGTTTAGGACTCGCTGTTCCATGTGATACATGGTTTTTGAAAGATTTAAATGGCTAAACATAAATTGTCACCAGGAGCACGCGAATAACATGCAAGCCAGAGATTGTTCGTAGTTTTTCTAGTTGTTTTTTTTTTTCACCATTTTTGAGGTGGCGGCAGATGCACATAAAATGTGTTGTTGAATCAAAAGAACTCCACTGTTCAATTCTTCGTATCAAGGTTAACAGCGGTTTTGACATTGTAATGCTGTCATTTTGAATCAGTACCTAGGCCTGGGTTGAGGTGAATCACTGTGTTGTTATCGTGAACAATTCTATCTTCCTTTCGACGGTTGGGTAAGAGGCGCTTCACAAATTGACCTCTGGACAGTGGGCTCTGGGGTACAAGTCCCGTGGGTCTATCGGGTTGGCGACCTTGAGTTTCAGCTTTGAGACACTGGATTACGCGTCATTGAACAGTCTAAGCTTGTCACAAGTCACGGAGTATAAAAGACAAAAAGCAGGAATGTTTGTCTTGCAGCTTTCCTGCCTACCACAATGCCTGTCTTCAGCAAAAAGTTCAGCCTTCCGAGGATGCCACCACGCAAGGCCTCCAGCATGACCAATTTGAGTCAATTGGACGCTAGTACGCGTAGCAACGAGTTTGGCCTCGACTGCGGTGTTGTTAGAGCTCGGCTGAGTGGTCGAAATTTGGTTTTTAAGAACGGACGTTGGCGAGTAGGTGAGTCTCTTCACTAC